AAAAAACAAGTTGGCTTCCCCAAAGTCCACTGTATAGTTCGAACACTGCCAATATTCATACAAACACAAAATTAAAGTCAAGCTTCAACACTCATGTCAGTTGAAGTGGGCGTGTCAACTAGTGTATTTGCCATCATCTACATCAGTGGTTCAAAACTAGACTTGCTTCAGGACCTTTATGATACATTGAACATCAGTTGGCAACCCAACACAGTACTGTTTTTTAAATAATTCATGGATGCCTTGACATTTAGAGGTTAAATATTCAAATTGATTGCGTTTTAGAATCTTTACAAGTCTCACAAATCATTACTTGTATAGACCAATTAAAATTTTAGGGAAATCAGTTACTGAAGCTCACCTTCCTTCTTAGGTACTGGTGCCACTGTTTGTGGTTTCAGTGTTTCAGCTTTCTGTGTGAGAGTGACCTCATAGTTCTCTCTATTCTTGCTACGCAGTTCCTCATACAACACTGGCTTCTTTTTGGGCACATCCTCATCTGGATAGAGCGGAGCTTTGGGACAAATGAAAACTATTGGTTAAACATCTACCAATCAGATGACAAATCCTTATTCAATGACAAATGTCTTCACCCAAATGTAATCACATTTAGATTTATTTATATACGTCTATACAATTATACATGTTGTTTTGTGCAAGGGTGGCAGTACCTTGAGGAGAAATATCATCCCTGATGTTAACAGGACCAGAATCACTAAATCCAGAACTGAAAGGAGTGGGGTCGTATGATTGGGAGGGACTGCTGTAGGGATAGTCACTGGTGTAACTGCTGTCTCTCTCAGGCATAGAACTGACTTCTGTCGAAGGTTGGAACGCTGACTCCGAAACAGACTGTTGAGATTCTGATGGGTTTGGATCCTCAAAATCTGACTGGTTTAGCCTAAAAAAAAAATTAATCACCATGTGTAAATTAATTGTCAAAGTGAATTACTTCAAATATATTAATGTATATATATATATATATATATATATATATATAATTTTTGAGTGATGATGTTAACAAATTAAAATTAAAATCAGAGATGCAATTAAAAAATAGACAGATAGATAGAAGCTATTTTATATTTCTAACTATAAAAACAAAATACAGAAATTTAAATATTAAAAAAATTCTTACTTAAAATTGTTCTTACTCTGAAGGCATGTGATGCAGACGTCCCTGTCGTAGTGCCTCTCCCAGTGGGGAGTTCTCCAGTTTTCTAAACTTTTCTTCACAGACCGTCATGTAAGACATTTTCCCAGTAATGTATCCAGACATGCCAGCAACTGCATAAAAATCACAAATATTCAAAGGTACTTAGGAAAATGTAGCCTTTGAATATCCCTTTATCATATATCCTTGGTTTTAGCTGTGTTTTATTAATTTGTGCTGTCTATTGTTGATACTTACATGCAACTTTGGGAAGAGAGCCGAATCTGGGTGATGGAGTAAGGATTCCTACGGATAAACAATAACAATATAAGATTTTACATGTTTGAAAAACGAATTTGTTCTCCTTTTTGTTTAAATTGTTTTACCGCCAAAATCCAAACCCATAAAACTTGCTTATATTCAGAATACAAATGAAGAGCATGAACAGTTGAGTTTCGGTTTACCATATTTGATGTGCTCTGTATATGTGCACTGTTAGTTGTTTCTATGTGAACAAAAGTCTAAATTAAATCGGTTCATCATACAAAATTATTGTGTCTACTTCGAATACTTGGATTAAACCACTCTATTCATACAGATTTCTTTCACAATCTCTTTATGGAAATTCTGAAGCATTCAAATTTTGGTGGAATCAGGTTTCATTAAAAATAATGAAAAATGGTGGGGGGGATTATAATTAGCCTACTATAAAAAGTTTCATTACTTAAGATTTTATTCTTTTTAATGACTTTTCCCATTTTTAAAATTCCCTGATAAATCTAGGTTTTCCATGACAATGGGAGACATGAGTAAAAACTTGAAAGAGGATGTGAACGTACCTCTTGATACCATTACCTGAGTGGCTGCAGTTGCAACGGCAGAAAATGGCAAGGCTGCAAATAACAAGAGAGCAAACGTTCACAAATCTGGTTCACAAGTTCTTTCTCATCAGAAGCATCTTGAGACTATATCTTGCAAAGTAATTTTGGGGAGGAATAAAACAAAAAATAAATAAAAGGAACGCAAAAAAGATGTTGGGCAGAATGACAGACAAGTGGCAATAAATCATGACAGGTTTCATCACTAAAGTAGAGCACTACTCACATCTGTACCAGAAGCTTTCTGAATTGCACTCTCTGAAGACACGCCTCTCTTCTTCATTGGGAATATACGAGGCATTAATAGAGCCCTGTGAAGACAGAACTATGGGTGAGGAAACTTTCTGGAAGTTCCCTATCAGTGATCTATTTGTCCTGTAAACAGAAAACCGCACACACACTTTGCTTTTCCAAGTACTTCTGCATGAGACAGAGCAGTAAGGGACAGAATATGTGGTTTATAAACATTGTCAGGTGAATTTACTGCCTACCTTACTAGACCCATGTGGGACTTGAGCAGCAGCAGTGAATCCAGACGAAGCTTGCGACATGACTGATCCAAGAAGCACAGCACGATTATACAAACAATAATGTTTTTGCAGTAGCCATGGGATTACGCGGATTACGAGTCAACAAGTCCAGAGACACACTTTATTACATGACCTCCAACTCTTATCAGCAAACAACACTAACCCGGAAGTGCAGGAGTTAAGCCGGAAGCACCAATGACAAGTCTCATAACAACTCAAAAATATGTGGAAAGATGTCTTATAAGAATATATATACATATAAGAATGCCTTATTGTAAATTCAACACGGAAAAAAACTAAACAAAATATAACTAATTGTAATTTCCGAACACATTTTTTTTAAATAAATGAAACATTTTATAACCAAAATATTAAAAAATCTGTTTCTTTGCCTTAATATGACTGTATATGTGAACAGTTTTCATAAGATTTAAACATACGATTTCATAGCGCATACATATCTAATATGTAATAAACATCAGTTCAACTTCATACATTTTAATATTCTTATAAATAAAAAAGACAAAGAAAGCGTTCAGACAAACATGAACATATACATGCGCATGTATATGATACTTGCTGCATTAGCCCATTTACAGCAATTATTATTATTATTAAGCGTGAAATATAAAAATAAATATAAAATTGTAGTCTGAACTGAGAAAGCAACTAGATTAGATAAAAACTGATCAGATGTTTGTGAACCGATTTAGAGAAGTTTAGAGAAATCATAACTTGTGTCAATATGAGTATTAATCACTTTTAGTGTTATGTCAATAGCCATTTAATTGCCTCATCTATCGATCGACCTCGCAAAGAAAAACTAATCCTCATAAACAACGAACATTTAAGAGGTCTGATCTAAAAGTATTGATTTTTACTTACGCAGTGTACGAGCGTGTATTTTGACAAACCGAAGGAATTATCGAGGGATCTCCTTTCAGCCAATCCAGTAGCAGTGTGTGTTGATTGATAGCTCAATCAGCTAATAGAATGGTCTGTTTGTTAAGCGTGTGAATAAAGTGCATTCATAGCCGCGAGCGCAGGGCGGGGCTTAGCTCCGCAATCTTGACACCACGACTCCCCTATCAGAAGAGCGGATTGTCAAAGCCGTTAGCCAGCGCTGCTCCAATCTGATGGACAGGGAGGTGGGCACGTTGTCATTCGTCGAGTTTTTAGGTGTTTTGCGAAAAAAGACCGAGAAGATTAGCTGTAAGATCGAACGGTAGAGGTCAACGGATGTGAAATGTTGTTTTTGTAAAGCTCGAGTCGTTCTCGTCATCTTTTGGAGAGAAGAGCCATTGGGTTTTCAGCGCTAGCGCGAGCAGGCTAACTGACGAGGAAAAGCGCAGCTGCTCTAAAAAAGGTAAGAAGGGCCGAATTCTGTTTGACTAACCTCAAATACCCAACGTCTAATGTAAGACCGACAGAGCCAGCTCTCACTTTTAACGCTCATCGGTTGTCCTATCAGATGTACTTTCCTTCGCAGGATATTATCAGTTAGTAGTCAAGTTATGTTATGTTGACCTGCATTTGAAGCGAAGATGAGTGCAGTCAGTGGTTGTGTTACAAAATCTAGTGAGCTGTCGACCTAGACAGCGTTTTTGGACACCATTGGTAAGGTACATGAGTTGAGCAGGCCATATGAAACTAAAGTCTTAATGCACAGATCACTATGTGACTTTTCATGGAGTTTTGTGAGCTAACATGAGACAACATTGCGCTTAACCAATCAGAAAAACTGGAGAAATTGTCTTTGGGCAACATGTATGAAAGCTGGACTGAAGGGAGAGACTCTTACAAAACTGCAGTTTGGTGGAAATATCAGTCATAATATAAAGATCTGCGGTATTAGTACCAGGATGCTGTTAGGCTGAGTTTAAAACCCCCAAACTCGTGTTCATTAACAACTCTTATTTTGTGTTAAACCACCAAATTACATAAAACGATCTTTTAATTTGATTTCTGTTAAATTTCCTTTAGTGGAAAAGTGTGAAATTTTAGTAAAACCCTGGAGCTGAAACAAAAACATGGTTTTGTTTCAATCCAGACCACATCTTTCTCATTTATCTTTTTCATCTAATAAAATCTGGCACTTGAAAGACTCATTGATGTTTATTGCTTGTCCAATGCAAACATGTGCATGAGTCATAAATGATGTTAACAGCTCTAGTGTCCCAGCCAGCCTCTCAGCATTTGGTGAGAGAGCAGCTTGTTCATCAGTGAGCAGAGAAGAGTTCACACTCCTGATCTGAGCTCTGAGAGGAGTGTGAACTCTTCCTGCTTACTGCTGAACATGCTGCTCTGAGTGTCATGACAGCAGTGTGTCTCTTGTAAACAGTAGTGGGGTTTGGTGGGAGACAGATGCATGGGATTGTTGCATTGGAGTTAAATGCTTAGACCTTCTTCTTTCAATTAATGCTCCTAAATGTAGATATATATATAGATATAGAAGCATGCTATTTTAATCTGAAATCTCTGCATGTTTCAAGTGAAATCGTATGTCGAATAATAATAAAAAACCTTATACAAATGACATAATTACATTGTCAATAACAGTAGCAGTGAAATTTCATGATTATTGATGCCAGTTTGCAGACCTCAGCTACTAAAATGCTAAAGAATTGAAAAAGCTGTCGTATTAGTATAAATAGTAACAAATTAATACAGTGTTTGTAGCTGTCAAATTAAGTAATTATAATTAATAATACATTACTATTTAAGAGTTTGAGGCCAGCAAGATTTTTTTTAAAGAAATTTATGCTCTTATTCAGCAAGGATGTGTTATGGTGTTGAAAAGTGACAGCAAATATTTTTATATTGTTACAAAAAAAGTCCATTTTAAACAGGCTAATGCTGTTCTTTTATAGTTTATATTTATCAAAGAATCCTTTGCATCACATAAATATTCAACAACTGTTTTCAACATATAGCTAATAATAATAATAAATGTTTCTCGAGCAGCAAATCAGCATTTTAGAATTATTTCTGAAGGATCATGTGACACTGAAGACAGGAGTAATTGCTTCTGAAAAGTCAGTTTTGCATCACAGAAATAAATAGCATTTTTAAAATATATTAAAATAAAAATGATATATAATTGTAATAATATTTCACAGTATTACTGTTTTTAGTATGTATTGATTGAATAAATGCAGCCTTGGTGACCATAAGAGACTTTAGAAGTAATATATATACACTGAACAAAATTATAAACGCAACACTTTTGTTTTTGCCCCCATTTTTCATGAGCTGAACTCAAAGATCTAAGACTTTCTCTATGTACACAAAAGGCCTATTTCTCTCAAATATTGTTCACAAATCTGTCTAAATCTGTGTTAGTGAGCACTTCTCCTTTGCCAAGATAATCCATCCACCTCACAGGTGAGGCATATCAAGATGCTGATTAGACAGAATGATTATTGCACAGGTGTGCCTTAAGCCCCGTTCACACCAAGAGCGATAACTATAAAGATAACTATAAAGATAACGATATTAGCGTAGATTTAGACAGATTTATGAACAATATTTGAGAGAAATAGGCCTTTTGTGTACATAGAAAAAGTCTTAGATCTTTGAGTTCAGCTCATGAAAAATGGGGGCAAAAACAAAAGTGTTGCGTTTATAATTTTGTTCAGTGTATATAAATACTCAGAAATTTAGAGCAGTGAGTGGTTGTTTTTCTTGTCAATATTATGCAACCCTACAAGACCAAGGTCTTGTATATCAAGATATGTTATGACTGATATATTATCCTCCTTGACATCATACGATTATAACTTTTACCACACAGGGAACTGCTTGAATATTTCAAGAACCCTTTCCTATTCATTTTTTTTACAAGCATCCTAGTGACAGATACTGTGCTATTTGCATTAATAACCTAGTAAATTACCTTGTTTAAGATGTGTTCTCAGTAATTGCTTCTTTGCTGGAACTAATGCTCCTTGTTAATTAGTCCCACATAAATGAAAAGAGATATACAGTGCAATATAGTCGTAATCCCATGGGATCATTTTGTCATTTAAGAGGGAGGGGAAAGGGATGAATTGGTTCGCTCCTCCGTCCTAATTTTAATCTAAATGTGCCTGAGGTTGCAGTGTTTTTACGCCCTCTTGAACACCCTCTTCTTGTTTAATAAGTTATTAAGGGCATAATCACAACAGCTGCAATCAGAAAATATGATATAGGCTAGTTCACATTACAGTCATGTTTTACATGTTTGCGTGGCATGTGAAACAGATTCTTCACTTCTTTTTCTCGTGAGAACCTTGTTTTTTAATATTTTTGTCATGAATGAATGAAACAAGAAACAGTGAGGGCTTTTGATTTGAGTCATCCGTTGTCTGGTACAGTAAAGGGTCTTGTAAGAGTGGGGCCGGACTGTCTGGTGTAGGTGGCAAATGAATGCACATGTGGGCATTTTGGAACTCGGGCCTTACAGAGCTGGATTTTTACCACAAATGAAAGAGGCATTTTAATGGCCTATCTTTTTTTCCCAGAAGAAATGAAATAATCAGACATCGTTTTGCCCCTGGCCTCTTGTGCCCTTCAGGGGTGTTGTGTAATTGCATTTGCTACTGACACTGAGTTGTGTATTCGGCCATCCGACGAGCGTTGCGGATGACCGTCATGACCATATTTTCCATACGCCTACTGTGCTTAGAGCTCGCCGTTGTGACACTGCAGATCTGCCGTCAGCTGTCTCGTGGAGATTGCCAAGAAAATTAACACGGCATTCTTCTAGATAAAAGACTCTGTTATAGTACGGACAAATGACGTGATGGTTATTCCAAAAAATTTAATCTGTTTGGGATGATTCCCAGGAATTCATAGATGGATAAGCCGGCGAGATTGACAGCTGTGTTTTGCACATGCCCATTACTATGTGATTATCTGCATGTATGTTTTCAAGTTGCATTATATCATCTAGGCTATGCACGCTGGTTCTCATGATTGTGTTTGTATCAAATTTGTGTTTGAAATTAATTTCATTTTGTGAGGAGAACCGCATTCTTATGGTGCGTAAGAATGATAAATGCATGATGAATGCACATAGGCATGTGTCTTCTCCTTCTCGTTTATTTTATCGAATGAGTTATCAACGGGTTTAATTTGCATAATTTAAAAAAATTTGACCTGCAGTCAAGCTATAATGTATTTGTTAGTGGTCATGTATGTAAAAAATCAGGGATTAAAAAC